AGTCCACAAAAAAACACCCGACAGCCCCCCAAAAAACACTCAACCCTCCACCCGAAAAGGAAATGTGGTTGCCGCCCATCACAAGCCTGATGAACCGACCAATTGCCCAAAGCCTGCGACAACCACTGGCACTACCGGTCGGTCTCCTAGCCGCGACTGCACCCTTCCCACCCCCCCTCAAAGTGCAAAAACACCCCCCCAAGCTCATTTCAAGTCCACGACATTTCCCAAACAGGAAAGAAAACCTTGCAACCCACGTAAGCGCAGCCTCTGGCTGCGAATACTATTTGCTGGCATGTGGGCCGAGGCCCCAGGCTGCGCCACCCCGATTTCGGGGTCTATCTATTAAATACGTGAACGGTGAGAAAGGGAGGGGCTGGGGAAGCCCTCCACGGAGGATTCTGAGGGGTTCTGTGCCATGGGGGCACTTCATCGGTCAATGTCTCACGGAAGCCGTACCCCCTTTTCCGAGACTACCCGTAGCCAGTTGGCAAAGAGCCCTCAGATCCTGTCAGTATGAGGGGCGCATGGTTGCACGCTCTCCCTTCCCGGCAGTCGGGAGTCAGATTTGAATGGGCGGGGCGGGCGCACGCAGCGGGCCCCTGGACTTGCGAAAGGCCGGTTGTTGTCACCTTCGCCCCGCGATCTCGTGCCTTCCGCGGGAAGACGTCCGGCAGGATCGATGGCTCATCAGCTTTCCCTCCGAAATTTCATCCGCCGACGACGGCGAACAGGAGCCGGACACGTGTCGGATGTGCGAGCCGACTGTCCCGCCAAGGTGGCCCATTGGGTGTGAGGTCTCAACTTGTTGTCCCCGCTTCTCGCTGTTGGCGGCCATCAGCGCCACGTAGCCAAACAGACGGGAAAGGCGTTGGACTTGGGGGTATCTCACGCCACGTACGCTTGCCACGTGTTCGAACAGAAGAGCGCAGATGCGTTCCTTCAACGACTATCTGGCAGACAGTCGAGATAGGCGATGGACTCGTCGCTATCTCCCGTCAGGTGCGCCTGCGACGCGGACGAACGAGCGAGCGCAGACGCCTCAGCGCGCGAGCTCTCGAGAAAGAGAACGGAGATGATGACAGCGACTACTCGGCGCGCACCGCTGCCACCGTCGTTGTGGATGACGTGGACCTCGCCGTCGAGGGGATCGATAACGGCGGCGATGGCGACGCTGCGGATAGGACGGGTGCTAAACGGGTGTCGATCGAATTAGCTGACGTGGTCAACCAACTGGATGATCTTCTGAGCAGAGGCAACGAAAAGGAGGCGCTGCAGCTCCTAAGGGACGCGCAAGGAGCTGACGGAGGATGTCTTGGCTTCGGCGCAGCCACGCAGGTAACTGACTCACAGCCGCGTACTCACAATAGCACTCTCCTGGATGTATCTGGCTGCAGTCACGGCCGGTCATGGATGCATGTGACCGCAACTGCGTCCAGAAGTCAGTCAAGGAAGTCCTAGTGTGCGTATGCCCGCATGCATGTTTTGTTGTTTGCTTATTGATCTATCATTATTCAATTGTTTTATTCATCTGTTCGTTTAAATCGTTTGTCTCTTCCCCCTCCTCGTTCTCTTCTCCTCCCAACTGTCCACGCACGAACACATAGTAGGTGTGTGTGTGTGTGTGGAGAGAGAGAGAGAGAGAGAGAGAGAGAGAGAGAGAGAGAGAGAGAGAGAGAGAGAGAGAGAGAGAGAGATTCGCAAACGGAAAACATGCCCAATACCAGTAGGGGCATTTGCGAAGTTTGTGAGTGGATATGGAGATGGATGTTGCATGAGGCTCGTTAAGGGCATGCCCAATACCAGTAGGGGCATTTGCGAAGTTTGTGAGTGGATATGGAGATGGATGTTGCATGAGGCTCGTTAAGGGCATCTGCAAAAGATGCAGGGCCCAATCCTTGAGTGGCATTTCGCAAAGTTTCACGACTGTGAGGAGGACATTTCGCGATAACCTTGTGTTGTAGTAGGGGTGTCTGAGGGAGCACGGCAACTTTCAGGGGTGCTTCAACAATTCTTCTTTTTCTGTTTTTCCGTCGAAGGATTTTAATTTTTTTTTACGGGCCCAGTGTGAGGCTGTCGTTTGGTAATGTGTCTGTTTGCTCATTTATTTACTCTATTATTTTTGGTCTTCTTTCTTCGTGGATGAATATTGACGACGAATGCGGGCAGGTTCCTCGTCGTACGTACACCCTCGAAGAACTGAGGATGCACAAGATCGAAGCTTCCCGCCTTTTGTCTCCCCTGGACCGCACGCTTGGTCAGGTTCGTCAGGCGATATGGTGGTCTGCTGCAGCGGCCATGGCAGCGGTTCTGCTTTTCACTGACGTCAGACAAGATCAGCTTCTTGCTGCTGTGATTTTTGTCTTATTCATCGGGACTGCCGATCAGGTCAGCATCATCTTTAATAGATCGCCACGTTTTCTCAGAAAAAAAAAGGACAGAAAAGAAGATCAGCGTCAACTGCGAGTCCGAAGCAGGTCAAGTCCACCCTTTCCTGCTCGCCCCGACAATAAAGACATTAAAAAAAAGGTGGTGGTGAAATGAGCTTTCGATACCATGGAAGCTTTTTTTTTCCTTTTTTTTTGTTTTAATTCCCTGAAACATTTTTGTGCACGTGTGGATTTGCACGATGCGAGAGTGCATCTATCTATCTATCTATCTATCTATCTATCTATCTATCTATCTATCTATCTATCTATTTATCTATCTATCTATCTTTTCTTGCTTTCTTTCTTTCTTCGTCTGGTTGAGGCTCTATGGGACAAAGCCACGGGGTGTTGATTGCTGGATGTGAGATGAAATTCATCGATCCTCCGCTCCCCCTTCAGAGCACCCCTGCCAGCCCTTCCTCTGCCGACCAAAAAAAGCAAAAAAAAAAAAAAGAAAAAGGAAAAAAGGGAAAAAATGAAAAAAAGGAGAAGAAAAGAAATGAAAGGTAAAAGAGATTACAGGTATCCTTCGAGTCTCCTTCGAGTCTGTTTCGCCCCCCTGCTTTTCAGTAGTGCTCAAGCACCAATTAATTAGCTTCCATTGAATTGAAAGGAGAGAGAAAAAGAAGATGACGTGGTCTTTTCCTCCCCCTCCTCTCTGTTTTCCTCCTGAAAGATTTTCTGTCCTTTCTTTTCTCATTTCGACAGCCTCTGCTTCATTCGTGGTCCATCTCGTTGGAAATCAACGGCAGCGCCGTGAAGATGAGTTTTTCACCAAAAAAATAAAGGAACCAGAAGGAAAGACTAGCAAGGTTACGCCCGATCCCAGCAGCCGGCCGGCCGTCACAGGTGTCTTTCCACAACAACAGTGGAGATTCATTCGTTCTTCATCTGAATGGATAGACCCACTGAACGAGGGTTTTTTCATTCACTGCTTCCTTCACTTTCTCGTCGACTTTTTGCATCCTCTTCCTCTTCCTTTCCCCTTCTGTTCCTTTTTTGTTTTTTGTTTTTTTGGTCATGAGAGGGCGACGGTGGAGGTATCATCGCTGGACTGACCGGCCCTATGCAATTCACAGTTACTTCATTCGTCTCAGTGGACTGACCAGGATTCAAACTACGGTCTGTTTATCAACAGCTGATGGCTGTACACCATTCTGCTGTATTTGCGGCTGGGTATTCCTCCTCTTCCTTCTTTTCCCACGCACACTACCGGTAGGAGGGGGGTATTCCTTGCTGTTCTTTTCATGTTTTTATTAATTACTAATAATATTATGTTAAAGCCGTAAATGTTAAAATCCATTATTAATCTTCCTGCCCGTTCTCTTGCTAGCTCGATCTGTTTCCTTTCTTTTTTTTTTGCTCACTTTGCTGAATCTACGTGGCTAGCTCGATTTCGTGAATTACAGTAAGACTCGTAACGCCCTCGAGAACGAATGCTGCAGGACAAAAGCAAAGGAGAGCCCCACTGAACTCGATGTCACACGTGCGCCGCTCTGTGTGTGTGTGTGTGTGTGTGTGTGGGTTGTCATGTTCGCTACAGACAACCCCACAAATAAAAGAATGACTGTGCCAGACTGTCTCATCGGACTTTCACGGCCTCATCAGGAGGTTGAAACCCCCACAGTCTGCGCAAGATGCATTTTGGCTGATGGATAAGGACTCGCCACGTCGCCCAGAGTTAGCGATATCCCTGAGAGAGAGAAAAGTGGCCGACTTTACTCACACCAACCCTGCAATCCTAGCAAACTCTGGGTCCAAACCCTGATAAGGATGGCAGCAAGTCTGAGGCTTTGTTTTTTGTTTTGTTTGTTTGTGTGTGTGTGTGTGTGTGTGTGTGTGTGTGTGTGTGTGTGTGTGTGTGCGAGCGCGCCTTGGCAGGTTGCGAATGGAGGCGGAGGAGAATCGCTGCTGATTGATACTCTGGGAAGATTGGTCAGCGAAAAGTACAGGAAAAGGGTAGCGGAGGTTGGTTGCATCCTGGCCTGCTTTGATTCCTGTCTTTCCCCTCCCCCTTCCCCCCCGCACCTCCTCCCCTTTCCCCGCGCGCTTTGATCCTGTTATCGACAGTGGTGTGGTGAGCCCTTTTTTCTGTGCCCCGCAGTGTCAGTTGCACGAGGGGCCCTTTTGCAATTTTCCGCGTGGTGTTGGTGCACGAAAGAAAACCCAAACCCGCGACGCAAGCAACGGGCCTAACTCAGTTGGTACCCCCGTAAACTGTAGAAATGCAGACTTTTTTTTTTTCTTTTTTTTTTGTTGCAGACTTGGAAGTTTGGATCTAGCAGAAACCATCCTTATGGAGGAATGGGGGCTCAGCAGACGGGAAGACACCTGGGCGTGCCTTTTCATGCCGTCGTTCAGGAACGGAAGCTCAAATCAGCATTCTGGCTGGGAAGCAATCCGGAAAGCCCGGAACAAGGAGGTCCCCCCAGATCTGCAACGACCGCCGGTCACCAAGGAGGAGGTGTTGGATCAACTTATCTTCGAAAACCCAGCGTTCATAGATAAGGCTACGGTTACTCCACTCATGCCCGATGGCTCCACTGGAACATTTGGCCAAGCCTGGGTCCGGAAGGGCGTAGTACGCATTGCAGACCTCTGGTCCCCGATCCTGGGGAGGCTGGAAACCACTAGGAGAAATTAAAAGGACGCTCAGAGGTTTGCGCAGGGTTGAGGAGCGTTGTTGGATGCAGGTTACTGAAAGTATCCCGCAAGACTGGTCATGTCTTCTCGGCCCGGGGGGATTGGAACAGCCGGGGGTACTTGGTATCTCTCTCAGATCGAGAAGAAGTCGCTGATGTGGTGTGGAAGGTTTTAGAGATTTTCCCCAGCGGCTTCCGGAGAGTGGAAAGGTGGAGTTGCMGAGGCCCWACGAACACTCTGTCCYGGGTGGAMGAASGSRCAAGASAGATCTGGGACAACCCAGCACAGAGACGGGTTATATGTCTTCTCGGCCCGGGGGGATTGGAACAGCCGGGGGTACTTGGTATCTCTCTCAGATCGAGAAGAAGTCGCTGATGTGGTGTGGAAGGTTTTAGAGATTTTCCCCAGCGGCTTCCGGAGAGTGGAAAGGTGGAGTTGCCGAGGCCCAACGAACACTCTGTCCCGGGTGGACGAAAGCACAATACAGATCTGGGACAACCCAGCACGGATAGGGGTTATAGAGAAGAGGAGCAGAAGGCCTACCTCAGAGACTCTTTCCTGGGTCGGCAGAAGACCACAAGGAAGCTAAGCATTGAACCACTGGGCTGGGCATGGTGGATGGAAAAGGCAGAGGTAGGCTCGGCGCTGAGCTTGGTAGACTACTCGACAGCACACGGATACAGGCTGTCCTCCACCAAACTCAAATCGCCAGCGCAAACCGCCATCCCCCGCTGGCTAGCGGTGTGGAATGAAGACTTATCAGAGGCAGAACCTGAGTTCACAAGACTATGGGAGATCTTAACTTACCTGCCCAACGGGAAGCATGTCAGTCTCCTTTGGCTGCTCTGACTGATGGTCACGCCTTGAGCAGTTTGGCTGGTAAGTGAAGGAATGGAGGTGAATTTGGGTTGCACAACATGTAGATGGCCATGGCCATTTGAATCGACCTGCCATCTGTGTTAGGAATGCCTGGCCTCCAAGCAGATCTGGAACTGGTGGGCACATCACTGGAGGGAGTTCGGGGGTTAAGCAGTGGATTGGGAGGAGAGATGGGTCTTACTGGGTTTTCTTCCATCCAAAGTGCCCAGACATCGTGGCTGGGGGTACATTGCACATGTTGTGAGAGGACTCATCTGTGAGGTTATTTGGAGAGACAGGAACAGGTCGAGATTCCCAGAAGCGAACGTTCTCAGGCCTCGAAGTCAAAAGTCACATCAAACAAGGCCTGAAGCATGCCATCCGGGTGGACTGGAGGAAAAAAGCGAATTCCGGAAAAGGAAGTAGGAAGCAGATCCGGTGGTTCCTTCACACTTGGGCAAAACGTCTCCAATTGGCTGCCGTGCACCCAAGGAGAGGGGACTGGTTTGATCAAAATGGTTAACAGAAACGCAAACACGAAGGCCAAGCCAGCCGGGTGATGAGACAAACCGTCTGCAGGTAAGAAGGGGTCCTGGGTGACCTCAGACACAACAAGACAAAGAGCAGACGCGCAAGGCTAGTCAGTAGTCGACCTGCTGAGCACGAATCTGGCTATCATAGAGCAGTCGAGTTGCGCAGGAGGTGGAAGTTCACTCTAGTTTAGTTTCGTGGGCCCCGTAACCAGCGCAATCGGTTAGGGGACTGTAAGTAGATAGAACAGTGCCCCACTTGAACCAGGACACTCGGTTCTTTAGAGCCGCAGTGGGCTATTCCCAGAGTGTCTGTAGGACCCGGACATGCTCCTCTGGGCCGCGCTAGTCCCAGACTCAGCCTAGCTTAAAGCTTAGTTTTTGTTTCAATTTTGACATTCATATCTACCCTGGAAGGTTCACTCCCTCATTGGAATGGAAGCTGCTTCAAAAATTGAATTATCTTTGTGTTTATGAAGGAGTATGGTTCTACTCCTCGGCTATCTCTACCTGGTCGTTCGTGCAAGTACCTAGTGTGTGCATTTGTTCGGGATTCGGTTATCCCAGCAGGTTCGGTTTCAGACCCAGTTCGAGCTTAAAGTGCTGGTAACCGCCCCGTAGAAAGTACTGTAGTACCCGTTTTCCAGCAGGTGCTGCTTCCCACCAATAGTATGGAGCCCCCAGTGTGTCGGGTAGGAGTGTATGCATGCTCTTACCATCACTCCTATCGGATACCGTGGGTATTAAAAAAAAAAAAAAAAAAAAAGAGTACTGTAGTAACACCCGGTTTTGATGCCCTGGTAACTTCAAATTTATGGTAGAAACTCGGAAAGTCGTAGTTAGTGACTTTCTGCAGGCACAAGCCTGTAAACTAAGCTGGCTGATGGTGCCAAGTACTCCGGGTTGAATTGTGAGTTCCCCGGCCTCAATTTTCTATGTTATAATGGATTGAAGTGGTTGTTTTCAACAAAAAGAAAAGAAAAGAAAAAAAAGTTTGGATCCCGATGGAACTAGTTGGATTGCCTGGGGCCGGCCAGTCCAATGATGATGATATCTCAAGGCCGTTGCTCTTTTCCCAACATAAAAAAAAAACAATAACAAAAGAAAAAAAACGCAACGAGCATGCAGCAAGCAAGCAAAAGTGTCGAGTGTGACGTGGCCAGTGGTCCTAACTTTTGGTCAGGTCAAAGTTCTAGGGTCCAAAAGGACTTCGTTGACACTCTGAAAAGGCATCATCAGAATGTCCCTCGGTGAATAGCTACTGGGTCAAGGCTCAAAATGAGGCACCTCATGCTTCCAGAGTCAGAAGGAGCCTCTAGGAAAGTCAACGGTCAATCCCGACCACGGCCACAGATTTCAGACAAATACAAAGGCTTGGTGTAATTTCCAGAAGCTTCCAAGGCCCATGGGGTCCAGGCACAAATGGGCTGCGAGCAAATCTGGGCCAAAGAGATCAGGAAATCTCAGCTCTTCGAGGAGGTGCACTGGAGACAGGCCGAGTAAACGCTATTTTAAAGAGTGGTGGTCCCCAGCTTGTGTCCCATCTGCCTCACGTTGCCACATCCTTCAGGAGGTAATGTGGTCGAGATTTGGAGGAGGAAGATTTCTGTGCCCGCAGAAGATTGATATTGTCATTTCAAGTTCCAGCTTCATTGTGCTAGGCTGGGATAGCTAGCGTTGTAGAGAGGTTGACTTGGCAAGTAACATTGTGTCCAGATTGGTGGCGAAGGAGTCGAGAGATACCAGCAATTGGGTGCGTTGAGGGGCGCTGAGAAGGATTCCCATGGGAGAAGAGGGCGACGCACTCTGAACACTGTATTATTGTTTATGCACTTGAGATAACTCCCATGCTTCCGATCTTCCTCTTCACATAGTCTTATATTTCTATATTGCCTCAATTTGCTTGTTATCATGGAGATGAGCAGTGTGTGCTCATGTGAGATTTCATTGCGAGCGTCTGAAGTTGGGTTCATTACAGAGATGGTAAAATTGTAAGATCCTTTTTATTCCTTGTCAGTATTTCTTCTTTGCATGGTTACCATCTGGACGTCCAGACCGCAGTGCAGATGGTCTGGGTCTGGTGTCGGATCCAGAGTGTTCGGATCCACCCCCCTCCCCCCACCCCCCACAAAAAAGAAACAAACAAAAAGAAAGTTCCGACTTAAAAAACGCGAAAGAATCTGAAAAAAAAGTTATGCAGCATTGCAATATAAGAATCTTTTGGCTGAGGACCATCTCGAAATTCGCATTCAAATAAAATCGTTTATTTTTATATATATTTTTAATTTTTAAGGGGGTTTCAATCTGGATTCTGGACTGTCCGGAGCAGTCCACTCACAGGTCCAGCTGGACGCCTGGATTGGTCCGCTGTCCGGATCCAGCGTACCATGCTTCTCTGTGTTTGCTTAGTTTGTGTCTCTAAGCTCGAGTCTTATTTGTGTATGAATGGTGAGGAGAACGTCGAGGACACTAATATTGAGGACTGACTAACACCGAGGATACTAACTTCGAGGATCCAATCAGGTCCAAGTATAGTAAGTCGCACCCATTTGATGGTGGCGATAAACAGCTGAGTCATAGAGGAATGGGAGTGAAGATGACGACAAGGACAAACGGACACAGAACGGTTTCTGCGACACGTCTCGCTATTGAGAGAGAGAGAGAGAGAGAGAGAGAGAGAGAGAGAGAGAGAGAGAGAGAGAGAGAGAGAGAGAGAGAGAGAGAG